ATCATTTTGCAGGCTATAGTGTAGCTACTCAATATTTCTGACAAAATTCAATTTTGTATAAAATAATTCATACATACAGTCTAGATGGATTACTTGTGCTTCCTTCAGTTGTTGCTCATAAGTTTCCTTCATATTCTCCATTGACTTTATTCTTCTCTTAAGATCAGCCAATTCATCAACTGATGAATTCAAATGTTTAACTTTTTCTCTTTCTTCATCCAATTGTGACTGGAGAGACTCAATCTCACCCTGTAATAATAAATAAAGTACATATACATATATATATATGATATACCTTATATTTGTCTATTAGATCATTTTCTTTCTTTTTATTTTCAGTAGCAGTTTCATGTTCTTTAATGGCCATCTCATCCAACAGGCTCTTCCGCTTGTCAGCCAACTACCAAATAATATTATTAATTAATAATAATCAACTTATAGTTCCCCTCCCTCCCTCTCTCCCTCTCACCTTTTCAATGGTTGATATAGTTTCTCCCAGTTTTATTCTTTCTTCCCTAGCGGTCAATAGCTGATCGGCAAGACTGTCATTAGCTTCTTGAGATGATTTCAGTTCCAACTCCATATCTGAATACTTCCTCTTCATCTCTCCCAACTCTTTCTTTGATTGTTGTAACTCTGTACTCAGCTCTTCTAGAATAACCTGAGAGAGAGAGAGAGGAGAGGGGGAGCATGTGATTAAATGAAAAAAGGGTGACAATGACTTACTTTGTTACTGTCCCGTTCATTAGTAAGTGCTTCTTGATGCTGCAGTTAAATAAAACAACACAAAATGTAGCAAATTCTTACATATACTAGCAGCCATCAAGAACATACATGTACATGTACATGTATTGCACATGTAGGTACTTATTTTTATAACGTACCTCCTGTAAATGTCTATATTTCTTCAATAACTCCTCCTTCTCATTTTTAAGAAATGAAATCTGTTGAGCTAAATCAGCACTGGATTCACTCTCCTACAATGAATGACATCAGCTGCTAAACTGCATGTAATTATTATTATTACTAACTTGTCGTCTTTTCTCATCTTCTTCTTGTAGTTGTTTTATTTCTTGATGCAAAGACTCCATCTCTCTCTCCTTCTCTTGACACATGTTGTCATAACTTAATCTAAAAATGACAATGAATACATGTATACTTGTAGGTTAATGAATATTAGTTAAAGTATCATAGTTAAATGTACATTGCTTTTACTTGTTTTCACTTAATATTTTCTCCTTTTCATTCTGCACTTGAACTAAACTAAAAATAAAAGTGAAATAGTCACAGAGCTGCTATTATACTCAAACTTTCAGTGTCCCTTCTCTCTCTCCCTCTCCCTCTCTCTCTCCAGGTACATTTCTTGTTTCTTTCTAGTTTTCTCCTCCAGTCTATCAATCTGGGTCTTAAGCTCCTCCTTTTCTCTCCTTCCCTTCTCCTCCATTGCCGATAGCTGCTCTTGTAGTATCTTATTCTCTTCTTCAAGAGTAGCTAGTTTTAGATTAATGGCCACTGGAGGAGCCTGTGCTGGTTGTACTCTGTCATCTTCTTTAATGGTGGACGGTTCTTCTCCCTCTGTCTGCTCTCCTTCTGTCCCTGCTGATTGAAGCTGTTCTTGTAACGCTAACATTAAAGTAAATATAAAATAATGACAATATTAATATTATTAACAATGATTACTTTGCAGTGATTTTTGCAATGCTTTGTTCTCAGCTTGCAAGTGAGTCAGTTCTTGTGAACTCCCTCTATCTCCACTAACCACACCTCCTGCCCCACCCCCTTTCTTCAATGCTTCCTTCTCTTCACAAACCTACAAGCACACAGATAAAGTGTAACATGTATAATGCAATTGATGGAACAATATGTAACATGTTGTTCCATTACATTGTACCTTAGCCAGTTCGTTCATTAGTGTTGTGTTCTGTAGCTTGAAGTCTTCTTCTTGAGTGTGGAGTCTCTTCTGAAGGACCTCATTCTCTTCGGAGAGTAACTGATACTCTTTAGCTTTTTTGCTCTTTTGTATCGACTGCATCAAAAAATGATTATTTATAGCATCATTCGGTCATAGCAACTTTCGGTGGAATTGGACCAAGGTCCCTGTATTATAGTACAGGGACTTTGGCCTGATTTTGGAGCATCTTTAAAAATTCATAATAAATCAAAATTTGATGGTAATGAGCTCATAAGTGTTATATCCACATTACTTTACCTTGTTTGCTTTCTCTAGCTCTTTGTTCAATTGCTGATTGCTACTAAGCAATTGCTTGTATTCTAAAGAAATTTTAAAAGTAATTAATAATTAATTTTATTAATTAAAGTTACACTATACACTGTTTACTGTAAATGTATACAGCATACAGTACTAATTATATAT